ACACACACACACCCCTCCTCACCCTCCTTCTCCCAACACCCAACACCCACTCCCCACCACTGTCCCTTCCATTCAACCTGACTTCAGAGCTGCCATCCTCCATCTATCGTAGACCTTGAATTTTTTTAACTCCTTGTCTCCGGCAACCCGCTCCAAGCGAGTTCAACGACAAATTAGTTTTTGACAATTGCCGAAAAAAGGCATCTTTTACCGGGAGTTCATTCATTAGATGAAAAACTATCTAATTATGTTCACTTATTTTTGATTTAACGACCAATTCGGTGACGTATATGTCAATTTTAGAACTCGTACATAAAGATGGCCCCCTCAGAGATAAAGAGATAATATGGCATTGGGCTGAACAGCACATCTTCAAAGGCTACTGGATTAACAACAATAACAACAACCATCACCATCCACCAGCCACCCACCTCCTCCAGTTTATGTAAAAACAACAACAACAACAACAACAACAACAACAACAACAACCACACCACCACCAACATCAACAACAACAGCAGCAATAACAACAACACCACCAACATCAACAACCACAACCACAACAACCACCACAACATCCATCAGCCACCCACCTCCTCCAGTTTATGCAATAACAACAACAACAACCACAACAACAACCACAACAATAACAACCACCACAACATCCATCAACCACCCACGTCCTCCAGTTTATCAATAACAACCACCACCGTCCACTAGCCACCCACCTCCTCTAGTTTATGCGTCTTGTTGCGAGCGGTGTCCAGCTCTCTCTGTACCGTAGTCTTGACCCTCTCTGTCTTGTGCTTCTCCTCGTGCAAAACTTTGAGCTCGTTCCGAGCCACCTGAACCTCCACGGGCTCTGGGGCTTCTAGAACATTCTCTCCACTGGGTTGGCTGTTCTCTTTCTCTTCGTCTGTGGGGTGTACAGTGATTGGTCACTTTTAAGGACAAGCGGGATAACCCAGATTTCGGGAATTTCCAGAAATCGTGACTTACACCAAAAAAGGAGCATTGCCCTACCTAAAGGAGAAGTTTAGTTTCATTGGTGCGTACATATTTGTTCAGTTATAGAGAAAACTCTCTTTGTCTTTTAAAGAACAAGGGGCAAAAACTTTACCTTCGATTTTCTCAAAACAGCCTTTTTCCGGATAGCCCCCTTGTGCTTAAAAGCGACCAATTAGAACAAGCAGTAGAGTGTGGATGGCCACTATATATAAATGCAATTATTATTTTCATTATTTGATGACACGATGTTCAGACACTGAATGAGTGAATCTGTGATTAAGTTTCGATTTGGTTTGGACATGAGCATACGCACAAGCATACTCCACCTTACTTTTCTGCGTACTGAATGCACATTTTAGTATGGGGTGGTGAAAATCTAGCGGTCTACATAAATAAAAAGTGCCTTTAAGGTAAACAAAATCTAATTTCCTTTTAATATAAGGGTTGTACCTTAAAAAGCAGGAGTGCATTTTGGGTTGCAAAATACTGTAGTTTTCACACATTCAATTATTAACCTACCAAGAAGTTTGTTGTCGGTCATGTTCGTGTTTTCTCTGTTCCTCAACTGTCTTGATTTGTCCACCTGAAACCTGGGGAGAAAGAACAGAGAAGTTTGGGCCATGTCCTCTGGAACTGTGATAAATGTTGCAATAAAAACCTACGTAGGAGTCCGCTGTATGAAGGAGAATTACAGATACAACTACGAGCTAGTTTCAGAGTCAAAAGATAAATAATTACATCATTTTACAAGGGTTTGAGTAGCATTCTCCAACATTGTTTCACATTAACCAAAACTACTTCAAGCAAAGTCAACTCACAACATCTGAAGTAATTGTCTCATCTTAAGGGAAAAACGGTCTAAAATGCTACATTCAAAACTGACACATAGTTACACAAGTTCTGAAGGATGTGATCATGAACACTGTTTTGTTGACAAATTAAAGTCACTTAATTAAAAACAAGCCTGCTATGGCAACTGGCATATATAAATATTATCCGCTCCTTGGTCAATTAAGGTAACCCGAAAAACAATATTAAGTTCTCAACGTCCAGTGCCCTGTGACTTTATAGTGTTGCCCAAAAAATTCACAACAGATTTGATTATGATATTTCAGTAAGTATGGAAAAATAGAGAATCGATAAGAGTAGGCTTCGGCCGCCACCTGAGCAAAATTCAAGATTTCCAACCAACTAAAAAATGTTTAGTGTGTCCCGCGCGCTCATATGACCTTATGCAGTTAAGAGCGCCGTAAAACACTTACAAAAAAAATAGGTAGAGCAAACTTCAGAGCTAAAATACTTGCCAGCAAAGAGTTCTATTTACTTGCTGGATCTTGAAATTCACAAACAGAAGCCCTTCTTTTTACAAAGTTTCCCCACTATCCACACAAAGATCTGTTATACAATCAAAAGAACTCACTCGCTGATGACTAGCTGGTTGCGGTTGGTCTCTAGGCTGATCTCCATGGACGCGTTGTTCAGCTCCATCAAGGTCCGTCTGTGTCACAAATATTGATGCAGTGTTATAAAAAAAAGCAATAACGAAAACAAGAACTTCATAGCCACAAGAGCAGAGAAGAATAGAGTAACTATAATATTCATGTACAAGTAGATCATTTCTATAGATCTAGTGCCTACTTCTGTGACGAAAACAAGAACTTCATAGCCACAAGAGCAGAGAAGAATAGAGTAACTATAATATTCATGTACAAGTAGATCATTTCTATAGATCTAGTGCCTACTTCTGTGGGCACACGGCTCATACTACTGAGCTTCCTTGTCACCTCATTAGTTTATTTTTATTCTTAGCTCAAATATGATCTGGAGACAATATTTGTAATCCTTGATTGAAGATGAATAGGGGGTGATGGTT